AGAGGGCAACTTAAAACGTAGATGTGCTTCGTCATGATTATCAACTCTTTTAGGAAGTATATGAGCCAAAACATTAGGAAAGTACTAACAGCACTGAGAAATCATTATTTCTTGGTGATAGTAAAAGAGGTTAAGAGAGAGAATCACGAGTGAAATGGGGCCAGGCACAGTGGCTCACATCTGTAATCCCAGCACTTTAGGAGATCAAGGCAGGCAGATTGTTTGAGGTCAGGAGTTTGAGACCAGCTTGGCCAACATGGTGAAACTCCATCTCTACTAAAAATACAAAAATTAGCTGGGCATAGTGGCACATGCCTGTGATCTCAGCTACTCAGGAGGCTGAGGCAGGAGAATCACTTGAACTTGTGGGGTGGAGGTTGCAGTGAGCCAAGATCATGCCACTGCAGTCCAGCCTGGGTGACAGAGTGAGACTCCATCTTAAAAAAAAAAAAAAAAAAAAAAAAAAAGAGTGAAATGGAAACTAGACGGTTTAATTTCCTGCCATGAAGAAGTAACTTTAATACTTGATCCAAGTTAGAATGCACACAACTCAAATAATAGCCTCTGCCAATTAAGGGCTTACAGTTACACATGATACCTGCCCCATTTAATCCTTACAACAACCCTTTGAGGGAGATGTTATCAGGATAGGGATTTGAAAGAGCCAATATATCACACCTCATGTTGTTTTGTTGAGTTGAGCCTGCAGAAGAGGCACCTGTCTATCCAGCCATGTGGGGAGTCAAGGAGCTGTCAGTACATGTGCAGCATCACCTAAAATATTAATCCTATCCAAGAGCTGAAAGTAGATAGATGTTACACGCTTTCCATCACACAAGCTAAAAAGCATAAGGCCTGGGTTCAATCCCAGGTCTCTGACTCTAAACACCATGCTCTTAACTGCTGTCTTTCCAGAAAAAGAGGGAAAGACTAAATGCATTTTCTACTATGATCAGATTATACCAATCGCTCATATATTTTTCTCTCCTTTTACATAGAAGTGCAGTAAATGTATGTCCTAAACCAATACTCTACTTAAGATTCCAATTTGATTGTAGTAAAATATACATACCATACAATTTACCATTTTAACCATTTTTAAGCAGACACTTCAGTGATGTTGACTACACGCACATTGTTATACAATCACCACCATCTATTTCCAGAACTTCGTCTTCCTAAACTGAAACTCCATGTCTATCACCCAATAACTCTCCATTCCCCACTTCCCCTTGCCCCTGGTAACCACCATTCTATTTTGTCTGTATCAATTTGACTACTCTATGTACCTCATATAAATGGAATCATATGGTATTTGTCCTTTTGTGCCTGGTTTATTTCACTTAGCATAATGTCTTCAAAGTTCATCCATGTAAGAATATCCCTCCTCTTTAGGGAAGAATAATATTCCATCGTATGCAAATGCTACATTTTCTTTATGTATTCACTTATTGTCTTAGTTGGTTCAGGCTTCTATAACAAGCTGTCATAAACTTGGTACCTTATAAACAACAGAAATATATTTATCACTGTTTTAGAGGCTGGAAAGTCCATAATCAAGCCATCAGCAGCAGGTTTGATGTCTGGTGAGGTCCTACTTTCTGGTTCATAGATGTTCACTTCCTGCTGTGTCCTCACATGGTGGAAGGGGTAAGAGGTCTCTCTCTGCAGCCTCTTTTACAAAGGCAATCATCTCATTCATGACCTAATTGCTTCTCAAATGCCCCACGTCTTAAGACATCACATTGGTGATTAAATTTCAACATATGAATTTTGGGGGGGCAGAAACTTTCGGACCATAGCATCTGCCAGTGGACACTTGGGTTGCTTTCACCTTTTGGCTATTATGAGTAATACTGCTGCAAACAGGAGTGTACAAATATCTGTTTGAATTCCTGCGTTTCTTTTACATATATACCCAAGAGTGGAATTGCAAGATTATATGGTAATTCTATGTTTAATTTTTTAAGCAATTGCTATCCTATCTTCCATATCAGCTGCACCATTTACATTACCACAGATTCTAAAATTTTTAACAAGAAAGTATAACTAAAATAATAAGTGATGAATGATATAAAAATGAGCAATGTAGACAATTAGCCCATAATTATAGCCTCTCAGAGCTTTAAGGGGTCTCTAAAGTGCATCAGTCCAAGTACCCATCATATATTTGAAGATAGTGCTTAAAGTTCTTGGATGATGATTACATTAACCCTCTGGCAAACGTTGATTAAAGGCTTACTAGTTACCCAGCACAATGCTATGCAGAGCTAAAAGGAACAATGAAATTATCCATCCTTTCTTGTAATTATTTCACATAACTACCACATGCAGCCTTAAACGTAACAAGTTGCCGATTTACCTAGGATAATGATTCACTTGGGTGGAAAGACCACGTATTTCAATTATTTTACTTCTGGTCTCTCTCCATGGGAAAGATAAACTAGCTTTAAAAATGATGTGAGTTGGTAAATATTTGCAGTTAGAGTATGAGGTCACCATAGCAGTTAGAAAACAAAACAATCTAAATATAATTGTAGATCTTTATAGAAACCTGACATCGAGCCATGTCCGCCTACATTATTAGGCCTTCCACAGAGTTAGAAAGTCTTCCACAGAGTTGGACAAGTTTAGAAATTACACAACTCTGAGGCGTAGTGAATGTTTATAAAAAAATGGTTTCTGTCTCAGTTGGGAAATACCAAGTACTCCTAAACGATGGCAAAAACAGGTGGTAGACAACAAAGAGAGTTGTTTTTTAGTGTGTGTTTTTGTTTTTGTTTTTTTTTGAGATGGAATCTCACTCTGTCGCCCAGGCTGAAGTGCAGTGGTGTGATCTCAGTTCACGGCAACCTCTGCCTCTAGGGTTCAAGCGATTCTCCTGCCTCAGCCTCCTCCAGAGTAGCTGGGATTACAGGTGCCCTCCACCATGCCTGGCTAATTTTTGTATTTTTAGTAGAGACAGGGTTTCACCATGTTGGCCAGGCTGGTCTCAAACTCCATACCTCAAGTGTTCTGCCCACCTCGGCCTCCCAAAGTGTTGGGATTACAGGCATGAGCCACCATGCCTGGCCCTTCCAGGCAATTGTTAACTCCAATTCTATCCATATCCCTAGCAAACTTGGACTCCATTTGGTAAAGTATAGGTGGAGGAAGGGGTGTGGAGCAAGGGCAGGGAACAAGGAGAATCTAAGGAGTTCCTTTTCCTTGATTTTCCAGTTCAGCTCAAGTTGTGAAACATTTGTGCAGCGTTTACTATATATTGGATATTATTCGAGGTACTGGAGACACAAACAAATTATACTTGGACATTACTTCAAGATGCTCAAAATCTAGTTTAAGAGTATGGTTTATTTTTTACATGTTTAGTTGTTTGTATTTTAGAAAGCTTCACAGGTGGGATGAAATATTTTACAATGCTATACTCATGTATGGTTAGGTAAGGAGCAGATAATAGCTCAGTTTGTGTGTGTGTGTATGTCCAAGGTCACTGTAAATAGTTTACCCCTTTACCCCAGCTGGAACCAGCCTGTGACCCTCCCAGAGAGACCACACTACTTTTAGCTTAGATTGGATAACTCTTCACATACAACGCTTTGCCAAGGTCGCAGCTGCTTCATGTTTGCTTAGTTTGATATTTTATTAACGCCTATTTAGCATTTCAATAAACTCCAGAATGTTTCCAGGTTACTTTTCGTAGTATTACAAAAAACAGTGATCATTTAGGCACTGTATTAGGCTGCATTCACTCAACATTTCCCAAATGCTTAAATACCAGGTCCTTGGGATACACCAGCGAACGTAACAAGCAAAAATTTCTGCCCTCATGCAGCATACATTCCAGTGACTACATATGATAAAAATCCAAAATAATTGAGGCCACACTGGTCTGGATCCTCAAGTGATCCACCTGCCTCGGCCTCCTAGCATGCTTGGATTACAGGTGTGAGCCACTGCACTCAGCCTGCTAGTCTTTTGACTGGCCTCCCCATCTCCAAACTCCATCCTCCATATTAGTGTTGCAGGACTTTTTAAAATAAAACCTTGGTCATTTAATTTCTCACATTAGAAAACTTCCACTCTTTTTCATTGTTTACAGTAGAAATCCAATTCTCTTAGTATGGTATATAAGATTCTTCATGATCTAGCCCCAGTACAACACTCTATAGTCTCCCCACCCAATATTCTTTTCACCGTATCCCTTCCATCTGGCCAGGCTGAGTCCTGGCAGCCACGATCCCCTATGGATCATGCTGGTTGAGATCTCCTGGGTTGCTCATGTTATTCCTGCTCCTACAAATATCTCCATCTTCTTGTCTACTTAAAGAAAACCTACTCATCTGTGTGCAATCACCATAAACACTATCTGTCTTCTGCAGCCTTTCCTGCAATTCCCATACCTCTGGCACTGACAATCACGTTTTAAAAATACCCCACCTATATTTCTCCTAGCCTCTACAGTATTTTGATTACACTTAACTAATTACACGACTTCTCTTTTAGTCTTCTTCTCTAGTCTCTTGAGGCCATGGACCATATCCTATTATTCTGAATCCCAAATGCCTAATACTGTGCTTGGTATATGCTTAAGGTGATCATATGACTTGGTTTGTGCCTGTTGACCTGGCTTAATTAGACCCTCTTTACTCCAAAAGTATCTTGGTTTGGCAGATAAGTTATATTTGGTCATTCTCCATATAGTACATGCCTGGCAATGAATGAATAATGAATGAGCACCAGAATCTGAGCACTTATTACCATACAATATATACATATGTAGTAATACTTTTTTAAAAAAGTTGTTTATGACGATGTGCTGCTTTTTTTCTTAGCTTCATTAGAACTGGCCAGCTCCTCTTTCTCACTTGCCAAGTATGGGGAGTTGGTTTGGAGTCGGTGTCAGTTATAGTGTGAAAGTAGTCCACCAGCCCACGCTGTTATTCCTAAAGACCGCACTGACTCCACGGACTTAAGTTATCATTGCTTCCAGTTTCCTTGGGCAACGCAGCACGCAATTTTGGACGCGCTGCGTGGTTTCAGAGTCGGCTGTAACTTGTCTCACTTTGTAATCATCAGGAAAAGTTCCTGATGCCAGTCTTCCAAACGCTCAATGAAATTAATAAAAAACAGCACCGCAGAAGAGGCTGAGATGCAACGACAAAAGTTGTCGTAATTATTAATAATACCTAACCCTGGATTACTCCCCTGAAAGATCTGTATCTTTGCAGCAGGCGCAATTCAGTTTGGTTTCACCCAAAACAAAAATGGTCTCCGTCGGAGTCCATTTCCTGTGGGGACCAATCAGAATATCGAATACAGGGCACGGGGCCCGCACTTCCGCCCGGTCTTCCTGGTCTCTCTAATCGCGCCAGTGCGCCTCCGACTCGGAACGACTTCCGCGGCAGGGGCGCCGAGGGCCGGGGGCGGCGGGCGGGATGAGTGCGGTGTGCGGCGGAGCGGCGCGGACGCTGCGGGTGCCGGGACGCCACGGCTACGCCGCCGAGTTCTCCCCGTACCTGCCGGGCCGCCTGGCCTGCGCCACCGCGCAGCACTACGGCATCGCGGGTGAGGCGGGGCCGCGCAGCCGGGGCGGGGGCGCGCAGCCGGGGCTTGGGGGCGGAGGCGGAGGCGGGGAACAGCCGGGCACCAGCTCCTCGCGCTCGAGGGAAAGCCCCTCTGAGTGTAGACGGTCCCGCGGTCCGCTCCAGGGGGCAGAAGAGGCGCTGATCGGCGCCTCTCACTTTGCGGAGCGCGAGGAGTTGGTCTGAAGCGGGAGTCGATCCTCTTCAGTTGTGTGTAAGTGCATATAGGTGTAGCCTGGTAGCCCGTGTCCTTGTTCCTTGAGACCGGCTGCCTCCGCCACCTGTCGCACGCCCAGGCACACGTCCCCGTGCGGAGAGCCGGTGTAGCCTGCGCGGTACCTCGGAGCGGTCGGCTCACACAGCTGTACGGAAAAGACGGTCTGAGCCAGAACCGCCCCAGGGCTTGCGAGTTGGCCCACATTTCCCAGTCTGCATTCGAGCACTGAGCCGCGACCTGCAGGCTGGCCGTCCTAAGAAGGATGCTCCTGAATGGACGCCTGGAGTCCAACCGGTGACACCATGAAATATATTAAGTTCAGTTCTCACCTGTAGTTGTCTCACGAGGAATGCATACTTTAGCAAGTAGCTATTACAGACTACAGTTAATTGTCTCCAGCGGGGCGCATTGGCTCAGCCTGTAGTTACAGCTGCTCAGGAGGCTGAGGCGGGAGGACCGCTTGAGCCCGGGATGTTGAGGCTACAGTGAGCTGAGATCACATCACTCCACTCCAGCCTGGGTGACAGACTGCGACACCGTCTTAAAAGAAAAAAGGCCAGGCGCAGTGAGGTGGCTCACGTCTGTAATCCCAGCACTTTGGAAGGCCGAGGCAGGCGGATCACCTGAGTTCAGGAGTTCCAGACCAGCTTGACCAACATAGAGAAACCCCATCTCTACTAAAAATACAACATTAGCTAGGCGTGGTGGCGCATGCGTGTAATCCCAGCTACTCGGGAGGCTGAGGCAAGAGAATAGTTTGAACCCAGGAGGTGGAGGTTGCAGTGAGCCGAGATCGCGCCTTTGCACTGCAGCCTGGGCAACAAGAGCAAAACTGTCTCTCAGAAAAAAAGAGAAAAGAAAAAAAAGTTAATCATCCCTCTCCGTGGACTAGATGAAAAGGCATGGGTTCATTCTCGCTTTTGCCTTAATTCATGTCCAAGCTATTATAGACACTGAAGGGAGATGCAACAACTCATTTCATAATGTCAGTGGTCTGTTGTATTTTTTGTTTTGTCCTACAGCAGAAAAAAATGTTACTTCTAAAACTCAGAGAAATACTTGATTTATTTTCTTTATTAGCTCTTAGTGCTTGGCACATTCAGATTTACATGGCCCACCAGTTGGATTGAAGACTCATGAGTCTATAATGGTAGTAGTTTCCTTTTTTTCTTTTTCTTTTTAGAGACAGGGTCACACTCTGTTGTCTAGGTTCAGTAGAGTGGTGCAGTCACGGCTCACTGTAGCCTCAACCTCCTGGGCTCAAATGATCCTCCTGTCTCAACCTCCCCCGTAGCTGGGACCACAGGCACGTACCACCACACCTGGCTAATTTTTGATTTTTTATTTTTGTAGAGACCGTATCACTGTGTTGCCCAGGCTTGTCCTGAACTGGGTGCAAGCGATCCTCCTGCCTTGGACTCCCAAAGTGCTAGGATTACAGGCGTGAGCCACTGTGACTGGCCTGTAAATGCTACTTAAAATCTTATGCAAAAACTCTTTAAAAGGAATTGGTATTTAAAAAAACATTCAGTCGGCCGGGCGCGGTGGCTCAAGCCTGTAATCCCTGCACTTTGGAAGGCCGAGACGGGCAGATCACGAGGTCAGGAGATCGAGACCATCCTGGCTAACATGGTGAAACCCCGTCTCTACTAAAAAATACAAAAAACTAGCCGGGCGCGGTGGCGGGCGCCTGTAGTCCCGGCTACTCGGGAGGCTGAGGCAGGAGAATGGCGTAAACCCGGGAGGCAGAGCTTGCAGTGAGCTGAGACCTGGCCACTGCACTCCAGCCTGGGCGACAAAGCGAGACTCTGTCTCAAAAAAAAAAAAAAAAATTCAGTCATGTTAAATAGAAGAGATTTTCCCCCTTGGTCTCTATATAAGTAAATATAACTTTTAAAATACAATGGCCCTTTGGTAAAATAATCTTTGACGGGTAACATATTAATACTGTTTTCAGCAGTGTATTACCAGCAGTTATGTGGTAAATCCCACCAGGTATCTCCACATTCATATTTTGCTTTAAAATCCTGTGTTAGATGTATTTTAGATTTACTGGTGAGGAGTGCAGTCCCTGGGGTCTGTAAGCCAGAGGTTTCTCATCTGTCAGTAGGGATGATAACACCAACTTGGAAGGTTTGTGTCTCTGGTGCCTTGTCTGGCTACAGAGTAGGCCCTTAAGTATTTCACCCCTTTGTTAGGTCCATGTCTGGATTCCAATCTTAGGTGCAATGGGAAGTTGAATATTTAGTAACTGAAGTACAATATGGAAAAACAGAAATGGAGAACACATTTGGTATTCATGTCCCAAAAACTTTAGGGAGAAATTGATCACCTGACTGTTTGGTATTTAAGGTCCAAAAAACTCTGGGGAGAAATTTGTGGTATTAAAATCAGGTACCAATTACTTGATAACTCCTTGACTTTTGATGTTACCCTGGCAGGTTCAAAGGGATGACCTTGACTTTTTTTCTCTTTAGGCTGTGGAACCCTACTAATACTGGATCCAGATGAATCTGGGCTAAGGCTTTTTAGAAGGTAAGGGGGCTGAAATTATTAAAGGTATTTACTGTTGCTATTAAAGCCTTAATAGAGTTAGGTTTTGACTCTTTGGTTAATGTTTTAATATACAATATAAAAGGAACCTTGGCGTTTGCATAGGATGAAGCTTATTTTTAGCTGGTTGTGGTGGTGCACACCCATATTCCCAGCTATTCCCAAGTCTGAGGCAGAAGGATCACTTGAGGCCAGGAGTTCAAGACCAGCCTCGTGGGCATAGGGTCCCCCACTATGTTAGGGGCACCCGTCTCTAAAAGAAATTTTTTTTTATGCACAGAGTCTGGCTCTGTCACCAGGCTAGAGTACAGTGGTGCAATCTTGGCTCACTGCAATCTTTCAGCCTCCTGGATTCAAGTGATTCTCCTGCCTCAGCCTCCCGAGTAGCTGGGATTATAGGTGCCCGCCACTATGCCCAGCTAATTTTTGTATTTTTTAGTAGAGACAAGGTTTCACCATTTTGGCCAGGCTGGTCTCGAACTCCCGACCTCTGGTGATCTGCCCGCCTTGGTCTCCCAAAGAGCTGGTGTTATGTGTGTGAGCCACTGGGCCCGGCCTAAAAATTTTTTTTTAAAGATTAGCTATGCCGTGGTGGTGCACACCTGTCGTCCCAGCTACTTGGGAGGCTGAGGTGGGAGGATTGCTTGTGTCCAGTTCAGGGCTGCAGTGAGCTGTGATTGGGCCACTACACTCCAGCCTGGGTGACAGAACAAGACTCTTTCTCTTAAATAAAAAAACAAATCTGAAGCCTGTCTCTTAGTGTCCACTCGTAAATTATAAAACTTAAAAAAATATGGAGTAGTATATTGTGTAGCATTACATTTTTGGACTGTTATGTTCCACTGGACTGTTTTTTTAACCTTTCTGAGTCTGTTGCCATATTTGTCAAGTACCTGCTCTCTTAACTCCCATAGTTTTGAAGATTACATGAGATATATGTGTTAAAATATGTGATAAATTGTAAGAAAAAACCCGTAATTATAATTGTTATTTTTTGTTGTTGTTGTGTAGCTGCCTATGTAAGTGTTGTGTTTTTTGGTTTTTTCCTAGTGTAGCTTTGACTGGAATGATGGTTTGTTTGATGTGACCTGGAGTGAGAACAATGAACATGTCCTCATCACCTGTAGTGGCGATGGCTCGCTGCAGCTCTGGGACACTGCCAAAGCTGCGGGGCCACTGCAAGTCCTTAAAGAACACACTCAGGAGGTAGGAGGGGAATCTTTCTGAGCTGATTATTTTTCTTTCTTCGACTTTGGTTGAAATCCAGTTGGGGATGTACACATGGAGAAATATCTTCAGGGGACAAGTTTAAACTTTAGCATTTCTTATACATATTAGATGTCACTTATTATTTGATTATTCAAACATAAAGTACCTTTGGCGTAAGGAGCTGGGAAAGAAAAGAAAAGGTCAGTCTTCTCATTAGGCAGAAGAAACGCCTCCAGCAGTGTACTCTGGCACCATTTCCTCCTAAGAGGCCCATGACTTTCTTTGTGCTCTAAGAATGTGCTTGCCACACGGTGCCTTAAGGTAGAGGTAGGTGGACTTTTCACATAGACGTCATAAGATTGCCTTTGGGGCTTCATTGAGATTCTCGAGGTGTTTCAGAGTATATTGGAGCAAGAGCATAAAATCCTGAGTATGAGGCAGAACTTACTGAAGGGATTTTATATCTAAATCTGGTTCATGTGTCTAGATTTTGTGTGTGTGTATGTATAGCACAGAAAATAGTTTGGGCTTCAGTTATACTAACATACATGTGTATTTTCAGTGAACATAATAATGAAGACATCCTCTTTTTGTGTTTTTACCTTAAATGTTTTAAGATTTTCCTTAAGGTAGCAGTACATCCTTCAAATGACAACTTGCTAATCTACTTTCAAATTTTTGTCCACCACAGTGCCTGGCCCGAGAAGGCCCTCAATAAATGCTTATTAGATGCAGGAATATCAGTCTTTTGTGGTAAAGATTAGTTATGTGAGGGGTCCACATGTTTTATAGCTATAGCTATTGACAATCAAGATTTCTAAGATTGTTACTGAAATAATGAAAAATTTTAATTTCTATTTTAATTGTGATAGCTATTTGAATAAATGTAGTTGTAAATTATCATGTTTTCAGGGAATTGCTGAGTACTAAGACAATTTGGGAAAGGAGAAGTTTTAGTTTCAAGATGATCAGTGCACGAATCTCTACAGAACAGTGTGTCCAAAATTCAGATACTTCTGTGGAACGTATGTGAATTTTGTGTGTGTGTGTGTGTGTGTGTGCGTGTGTGTCAGGGCCTCACTCTGTTGCCCAGGCTAGTGCAATCTTGGCTTACTGCAACCTCCACCTTCTGGACTTAAGCCATTCTCGTGTCTTAGCCACCCAAGTAGCTGGGATTACAGATGTGCGCCACTATTCTCTGCTAATTTTTGTATTTTTAGTAGAGACGGGTTTCACCATGTAGGCTAGGCTGGTCTTGAACTCCTGGGCTCACGTGATCCACCTGCCTTGGCCTCCCAAAGTGCTGGGATTATAGGCGTGAGCCACCGTGCCCAATTTGTGTGTGTGTGTGTGTGTGTGTGTGTGTGTTTGTAGAGATGGTTTTGCTATGTTGCCCAGGCTAGTTTTTGTGATTTTTGACATTTTTTTTTCTTTTATCATTTGTATTATAATTAATTTAATGTTTTTCTTTTCCTTCTTTCTTTTTTAAAAAATACTTTTCTTTTTAGAAGTATTTTTTTCTTTTTGTTAAATCTTTGGTGCCTTTTATTACCTATATAAATTCAAGGGTGATAACTAACATCATAAAATAATATTGCTACTTAAGTTAAATTCAGTATATTGACTTAATGTTTTTCTTTCAATCAACTAAAATTGTTGCTTCATTTATCCTGAAACAGTAATATTCATGAAACAATGGGGTTGATGGCTACTTTAGTATGTACATTTATTTGTTTTTAATGTATATTAAGACAAATAAGTAACGAATAAAATAAATGTATGTACCAGTTAAAATAATCTCTTGTGCAGCTACTTTCTGGGAAATACTGTTCTAGGATATCCTGGCTGGATGGTCACTCAGTCTTCATCTCAGTGAAAGTAAATTTCACTTTCTCTTGAGATAACTTATTTGATTTTTAGGTTGTTCTGATGATTAAGAAACTACTTCTTGTAAGCCCAAATCTACCTTCTATAGCAACCAACTGCTGCTCTTAGTGCCTTTCTCTGAAATGGTAAGACCGAGTCCAGCCCCTTTTGTCCAGGAAACCTCTTGAAAATAGCCATTGTGCTCTCTTCCAGACTGTGCACTTGTCATTTCATTGCCCTGTCCTCAGATGACATGATCTCTACATCTTTCATCCTCCTGGTAGCCTCCTTTGATAATCCTTTGAAATAGTGCCTTAGAAAGGGGCACTGTTTTTCAGTGCCCCTTTCGATATATACCTAATTTATTCCAGAAATGTGATGAAGGGCTAAGCTTTATAAGATTTTACCAGCATAGTCTTGAGCCCCTAGTTCTAATAATATTACCTAAAGTGGCTATACATTGTTCTCAGCCATGTCTTAGTGTTAGGTTACTTTGAGTCTACTAGTAACACACTTACCTCTTTTGTTATTTGAACTGCTGTTAAACCAGTTTTACAGCATTCTATAATTTTGCAACTGATTTATTGAACCGAAGATACACTTCTGTTTTTTAACTTTTTAAATTTGTTTTGCATGCTACTATTCTAGTTAGCCTTCGTTTTCTTTTCAAATGCAATTTTTGGTAAGCGTTTGTATCAGGATGCGTTGAATGTCAGTGTAATAGAAAACAATTAAGTGGCTTCAACAGTCAGAGTTTACCGTTTCACATATTTTGCTTGGTTATGTGAAAAATAAATGAAGATAACCTTTTTCGGTATTTGTTACAGCAGCACCCCTAATTATTGGCACCAATTTCTACCTCAGTCTACTCGGGCTGCTGTAACAAAGTATTATAGACTAGACTAGGTGCCTTATAAAGAACAGAAATTTATTTCTTACTGTTCTGGAGATTGGAAGTCCAAGGTCAGGGTGCCCACATGGTTGGGTTCTGATGAGGGTCCTTTTTCAGGTCAAAGACTACTACTATCTTTTCATTGTATCTGCAGGTGATGGAAAGAGGATGAGAGAAGTTTTGGAAATCCCTTTTAGAAGGGCACTAATCCCATTCATGAGGGCTCTACATTCATGACCTAATTACCCACCAGAGGTCGTACCTTCTAATACCATTACATTGTAGGGGGTTAATATTTTAACTTGTGAGTTTTGTGGGGACATATTCAGTCCATTGCATATGCAAAATACTCAAAAATACTTAAAAGGATTTAAGCTCAAATGAGAGTTTTAAGGAGCTTGTAAATATTTGTTGAATAAATTAATAAATGAGGCTGAGTGCGGTGAGTCATGCCTGTAATCCTAATACTTTGGAAGGTCGAGGTTGGCAGATCGCTTAGGGCCAGGAGTTTGAGACCAGCCTGGCCAACATGGCAAAAACCCCACCTCTACTAAGAATACAAAAATTAGCTGGGTGTGGTAGTGCACACCTGTAGTCCCAGCTATTTGGTAACTGAGGCACGAGAATCACTTGAGCCTGGGAGGTGGAGGTTGCAATGAGCTGAGATTGTGCCACTGTACTCCAGCCTGGACAACAGCGTAAGACTCTGTCTTAAAAAAAAGTTATTAAAAAAAAGTTGATAAATGAATGAACATAGCCAATTTCTGTTTGTTTGTTTGTTTGTTTTTTCCACCAGTATGTTCAAGGAAGCTATGTTGTGAAATGGAACAGCAACTAATGGGTCATTTTCTTCTGTGGAAGAGATTATATAATAATGATATATAGCACGGTTTTAGTCAATCTGGGATTCGAATCCCAGCTTTGTAAGTTACCCGTTGTGAGACCTTGCATATGTCACATTTTTCCTAAACTTGAGTGTTTTCATTTGCAAACTAAGTTTATTAGTAGTCTGTATCACAGGGTTGCTGTGAGTGCTTGAATTAGAACCAGCATTGAATAAATATGAGCTAGTATTATTATTTGCTCTTATTATAATAGGGTTTGAAAAATACAAAACAAGTTAGAACTTTTCCAGTTACCCATTTTACCACTTGATGGCTGTGTGTCCAACAGTCAATGTTCAAGTTGTCAGATGAAGCAAAAAAGAGAAATCCAAGATTTAGATATATTTTAGGCTTTGAGGAATGAAGGTCTTGGTGAAATGAAAATAAAGAAAAACATGGACATTATCTGTGTGAATGGTTGCTAAACTTAGCATCGAAGTAGGAATCAAATTGTTCTGTGTATTGTTTAACTGGTGTCTGCAGAGGTCATTGTGTCTTTTGAGTCCCATAAAATGCCTTTGGCTTTGCTTATTCTAATGCTGCTGAATATATAATAAAAATTTTTTAAAATTCAGTGAGAATAGAAAAATAAGAGTGAATTGACAATTTTATTTCACTACTTTCTGACTTAAAACACTGTGCTACTGAGAGTGAGTTAAAGTGACTTTAAAGATGACATAAATCAATGTAATATATTAATTTCTAATTTTCAAACTAATGAGTTTGCTTATCACAGTTTAAAAAAGTTGAAATTTGTTTTCATTGTCAAATAGCAAGGTTTATCAATTTGCTGAATTTTTATAACATATTTGATCCATTGAGGTTTTTGAGCATTGATTATAAAAACTTACTTTTGACCTAAGTATGCAACTATTTGTATTCTGTTATGGAGGAAATGTATTTGCTTATACATTTTAAGAGTTAAAATCTTGTTTACTTTAAAAAATGAATCAATTATTTACTTTTTGATAATGATAGAAGTTGAGAAGTCAATAATGATAGATACTGTATTAGTCTGTTTTCACATTGTTGTAAAGAAATACCTGAGAGTAGATAATTTATAAAGGAAAGAAGTTTAATTGACTCACAGTTCTGCATGAATGGGGAGGCCTCAGGAAACTTAACATTATGGCAGAAGGTGAAGGGGAAGCAGATGACCTTCTTCACGAGGCGGCAGGAGAGAGAGAAAAAGAGAGAGAGAAAGCAGGGGAAACTGCCACTTTTAAAACCGTCACATCTTTTGAGAACTCCTCAGTATCACAAGAACAGCATGGGGGAAACTGCCCCTGTGATCTGATCACTTCCTACCAGGTTCCTCCCTTGACACATGGGGATTACAATTCAAGATGAGATTT